AATTCAGATATGGAGCTTTAATAAGTTGTACTTATGCACAATCTACTTGTAATCTTRAGTTKTAAGTAATATGCATTAATAAACAGTAATTTACGCATAAAAAAGTGATTTTTAAGAGTTTTTGTCCAATGCTTTATAATATAGTATAGATATTGCATCTGGTAATTGTATTTTAATATCTATAATGTTATTAAATTGGTAATTATGCTATTTTATCGAGGATGGTATTTAAATGAATTTTCCCTCTTGAAATGTTGAATAAAATGATCGAGTTTGCTAAAGAGATCATATTTCCTACGTTATTCAATCATAATCTAGACATCCCTAGGAATAATAGAAGGTCATGACGAATATTTAAGGTAAATAATAATTCGATAACAGTTATATACTTTCTTTACTAAATTTATTTTGACTACTAGCTTTAACGTAGGGAGCAATTGGTGCCCTTGATGGAACTTTAATACATGTTATTGTTCCTATTCAAGAACAACATTTATATAGAGGACGAGGAAAGAGTGAATGTTATCAAAATGTTTTGGCAATATGTGACTTCAACATGGTTTTTACATTTGTTGTTGTCGGATGGGAAGGAACTGCACATGATTCTAGAGTTCTATCTGAAGCTTTAACATATGGTGCTATTGGATTTCCATTTTCTTCTTCAGGTATACTGATGATTTTAGAGGTGATATATTTACTATATTCATATTAGTAGCTATTTTATTTATTGTTTTGAAATAAATATTATCTATATGATGTTGCATATATAAATACTCGAAGATTTATGACGTCGTATCGTAATGTTAGACATTGGCTGGGAGATTTTCATCGTCGACGAGCAATGAACATGTATGAAAAGTTTAATCATTCTCATGTAAAGCTTAAAAATGTTATTGAACGTTCTTATGGTGTCCTGAAAGCACGTTTTGCGATATTGAAAAGAATGACACCATTTACACTTGAGGTTCAAAGAGACATTGTTATTGCATGTTTTGCGGTTCACAACTTCATGGTTTAAGTGATGAGATATATTATAAGTACGATCAAACCAACGAGCAAGGGGACGATGGCGAGGATGAGGCTGAAGAGGTTCAATCGCATGGGAGTGCCGCTGATCAAACACATATGACTAGTTTAAGAGAATCATTGCGACACAATTAATGCAAAATGAATATTGATTTTAGTTATTATGAGACTTTGTTCGTGTTTAATATTGTATGTGGAATCAATTGATGTATTTCAGTTGAAGTTTTGAATGTGTTAAATGAACTGGATATTTCAGTTCAGTTGAATTTAATTAAAATGAATTGATTCAGATTTCAGATTTCAGACGTTTGTCAGTTTACAAAAACAAACAGTCTGACTAATTCATATTTCAGACTTCAGACGTAAAAACAAAATTGTAATTGATGGGTAGATACGTAATTTTGTAAATCTTTTTAATTGTTATTGTTTATTTCCTTAATTCCCTTTCCTCTCACACACGGGGGAAAAGCTTTCGGAGGAAAATTGATATTATTTTCTTTAATTTCTCCTGTAAAAAACTCGATAACACGAGATTTTTTCTTTCCCCTTACTCTGCTTCCTTTTTCATCTCTTTCCTTTGTAAAAAAAGAACTCGTAAATACAACGTAAGAGTTACGGTTTGGTGAGAATTTTTTGGCTGATAGACTGAAAACATGTTGCATATATCTAAAAAACGAGTCCAACAATTTAGTTTCAAAATGTCTCAATTATATTCATTTTAAGAATTTGATTAATTATTCGTTTTTCTTATTTTCTTGTTATAATATAGAAACGTGGACTTGAGATAATGTGAGACAAGACTGTTTTCGTGAGACACGATATTTACACTTGAAACTTTACATCAAAACATCAAATTTTCAATTGATTGATTTTTTTCTATTAACCTGGATATCCAACCCGTTATACGAGTCGACTAATCCCAAGACGACCACCTGCTTTGCGGGTAACCCGGAGTCACCGCATTTGAACCTCCGTGGCTACAAGGGGATTTTTATTCCTCCTTGGATTTGAATATGGGACCTCTAGACACTTTTGATCTTTGAAATCCAAGCTCAAACTAATCAGATAACACTCGTGTAATTTAATTTTTATTGTTTATATGAATGAAATTATTTGTATTTAAAACCAATCACATATATATATATATATATATATATATAATTGTTGTTTAATTCATAATTTACTCACTAATTGTACCATGGACCATTGTATTGATTGACTCAATTTGTTTTTTGTTTTTTTCTGAAAATTTAAAACCAATTTATTAAATTATAAAATTATTTGATAATTTTCTGACTTGCTTATATGTTAGCATTAAAGTCCATATATATCGATCATCTTTTACCAATGAATTTTCTTCGTCAATTATGTTGTCGATAAACCATAAATCTATTCGTAAAATCTTGAAAAAGATACAAAAATACAGATAAAAAATCGTCACTGTTTGTTTAAAATAATTAATTCTTATCTAAAACATACTGGTTTATTTTTCCCATTTATATAAGAAATAGCGTGAAACTCCACTTTTGGTTCGGTTGCAATGAAAACCTGAAAACCTGCCTTTCACGTCGAAAAACCGTTCTTAATATTTACATCTGAGTCTAAAACGGGTCTTTTCCTAATTTTCTTAACGAAGACCTCGTTACTTGAGTGTAATTCTGACATCTTACGTAAATTTTATTATAAAAATATTGAACATTTTATATCTATGCTTCATATATCGTAAACTCAAATTTTTAACAAAAAAATGCAAAATTACCAAAATGTCCATCTTTTAACAAACTCTCCGTTAAGAGAGTTAGAACAAAGGATGTATTTCGAACCGTAAACAATAAGGACAATTTTTCCATTTACTAAAACACAAGGACAATTTTTAGGCTTTCGGTATATACAAGGACCAAAAGTGTAATTTTCTCCAAAAACAATAATTTGTTTGTAAATAAAAAAAAATAAACCACGAGGATGATGTCTGATTAGTTTGAGTTTGACTCCAAAAATCAAAAGTATTAGGAGATTTCAAGTTCAAATCCAAGTAGAAACAAAAATCCGTTTGTGGCCACGGAGGTTCAAATACGATGACTCCGAGCTATCTATAAAGCAGGTGGTCGTTTTAAGATTAGTCGGCTCATAGCAGGTTGAATATCTAGGTTAATAAAAAAAAAAGGTAAACCACAAAGGTGGTGCATGATTGGTTTGACCTTGACTCCAAAGATCAAAAGTACCAGGAGGTCTTAGGTTCAAATCCAAGGAGGAATAAAAATCCTCTTGTGGCTACGAAGGTTCAAATGCAATGATTCCAACCTATCTACAAAGCAGGTGGTCGTCCTAAGATTAGTCGGCTTGCATAACAGGTTGGATATCCGGTTAATAAAAAAAAAGCAAAAATGGTCGGAAAAAAAGTGGTGTGATGATGTCTTAATGATAACAAGAGAAAGTGAACCCCAATTTCTGTAGGGTTTTTAACATGTTCTCAATGCTTTGAATACCCCCAAAAACACCATCGGTTGGTCTCTTCTTTCTTCCACCAACAAACCCACATGCCCTCCTCCTCTCTCTCTCTCTCTCTCTCTCTCTCTCTCTCTCTCCTCTTTCTCTCTCTATATCTATACCTGTATCTATATCTATATCTATATCTATATATACTATACATACACACACAAAGGGCATAAAGGTAGAGATAGCCAAGTGTGAGCTAAGCTAGTTCTAAGAATTCAATGGCTTTCAAGAAATCCTCTGGTAAACTGTCACAAGCAGCAGTTTTGAAGCAAATAGTGAAGAGGTGTTCAAGTTTGGGTAGAAAACACGAGCAAAGCTACGAGGACGTCCCCAAAGGCCACTTTGTCGTGTACGTTGGCGAAAACCGCACCCGATACGTCATCCCCATCTCCTTCTTGTCTCGACCCGAGTTCCAAACCCTACTTCACAAAGCCGAAGAAGAGTTCGGGTTCGATCACGACATGGGTCTCACCATTCCGTGCGAACAACAAGTTTTCGAGTCTCTTACCTCCACGCTTCGCTGAAAACCCGACCCTCCCATCGACTACTCTTTTCCCTTTCGTCCTTCGATCAATTCTTCTGTTTTTTTTTTCAAGAAAGACTCGAAAAATCGTGTTGATGTCGTCTTGGTGATTCACAGAAGATGCCAAGAACGAGTTTTGAATGTTGATTTTTTGAGAAAACCCGACCATGTAAACAGGCGAAGGCGAATGTTGATGGAACAGGTTTAGGGTTTTGTGATCGGAAGATCAGGGTTTTCGAGTCGAAGATGATGGTCCAAGAGAGATCGACAAAGTGGGTGCGAAGGATTTCCGCGACCCGTGTAGGAATGTATCTAACCATTCAGCTAGAGAATGTTAAAAGATCAATCGGCTACAGATAAAGGGTACGGTTTTTAGAATACGTTACAAGTTTTGAGTTCATAAATCATGTAAATTCAACATGTAACCAAAACGTATGTATATGTGAATTTGTATGAATCGAAATTCAAACCCGTTTGATTATCATTACGTTATATACAAATATTGAACGTCAATCGGAAGTACATTAAGGATATTGGGGATCCATGTAGTTGCGTTCATTACAAAAAAATCGAGTTTATAGGACACTCCCAAATTCTAAGCGTCCTAATAGACCTCTTTATAGGACTTAGTTTATAGGACCAAAAAAATAAAATGTCTTTTCTAATCTAATAGTGTTGTATTAAGTTTATATGACGTTTTTTGATGTCGTAATAAGTTTTTTAGGGCACTTTTAATATAAAACGTCCTATTATCAACTTTATAGAACACTATTTGGAAAAAAAATGTTCTATAAAAACAAGGGTTCTATAAAAAATTGAGTTTATAGGACAATTTCTCAAAAATGTTCTATAAAGTTGCTAATACGACACTTTGTATTAAAAATGTCCTTAAAAACTTGTTAAGACGCCCAAAAGCGTTATATAAACTTATTGCAACGCCTTTAGATAGAACGTTTTATGTTTTGGTCCTATAAATTAAATCATATAAAGCGGTCTATTGGGACACTTAAAGATTGGGGGTGTCCTATAAACCCAAATTTGTTGTAGTGGTTGTATATATATACGCAGTTGATGCATCATTAATCGAAAGAACTTGTTTTTTTTCTATATAATTTATGACTTCCAAAAAGGTACAGGTATCGGGTACTTAAATTATATGTCATTTATATCGTGGAGGCGTAAATTTGGGACGGAAGAAATGTTTAGTTTTACGTTAGTAGTTAACGGTAACGTTGCTTTTGATTTTATTATAAGTTCCAAATAAGAATATTATAGTCTTTTATAAACGAACTACTTTCCACGTTTTTCAAACCCGAGTTGGGGTCTTGGCGTGAAGCGTCAAGTTGCATTCAGTACGAATTTTGTGGTCACAGCGTTATGCCAATCAACATCAGATGTGTATTTGTTGATGGAATAACTTTTGTATGTATTTTATGATGGTCTTTTATTCGTACGATCTTTTCATTCATTTGATAAATGTTGAGACAATCGTGTGAAAGAATATATATACATGGAAAAACTTCAGGAGTTTGTTAAACTTGATCAGTAATAGATTATGACTAATAGCAGTAATAATAGCAGTAATAAAGGGTGTTTGGATGTACGTCTCAATTTAAAGTATATGGTAAAACCGATCATGATTATGACTTCTTGACTCGTTTGTGTCAAATCAAAGTTGGAAAAATTGGCAAGGAGTTGCTAACTTGCTATAAGAAAAAAGACGAAAATTTATCAGAATACAACGAAATCTGTTATAATTCCTATTTGCTGTAACAATGACTGGCAACTGATAAAATTCACAGCTGTTGCTGACATAGATTTCAAATTGTCAAGTTATATTAGAATTTTTAGTAGGTAAAAAAAACGACACATCGAAATCAACTGATGTCCAGTAGACTGAACCAAGTCCCCTAATTGTCTTCATATCGAGACGCAAACAGACTTATGGTAGTACTGTGCTTGGATGCCGATTGTTTGCATATATTTGCATCATATAATATCCCACTAAGAACGTTTGGTTTTATTATCTTAGTTATATCATTTGTGTAAGATGAATGAATTAAATATCATTATCAGATATCAACAACTGTGACGTAATCAGTATCTCTGTACAATGATAACAGGTTCATGCAACTAAAATCATACAACATAACATATAACTGTAAGTTGGTATATCTACAGCAAAACTACGGATTCATGCCGTTGAAAGGGTCCAACATCACATATAACTGTAAGTTGATATATACGTCTTCGACAAAACTATGTGAGACAATTCATTGAGATGGTACAATAACAGCCGTGTTTGCAAAGTAATGTAGAAACCTGATTGATCCACTTTATCAGCAATCTTGTGAAAGATTTGACTGATGCAACTACTCGAGATATGACACGAAAACCGCTTTGAAGTAAATGGTGATAAAAACAAAATCTGTATTTAATGCTCCTATATAATCTAAAGTTGTGTTTCTTCGTATCAAGGAAAAAAGCAGTTCCGTTCATAACCCTAAAAATGGGTTTTCCGACCTACCATATATAGTGCATCATACTTGTGGGTGTTGTGAAAAAGAGTCTGTACGTATGTGGCAAGTAATGGTCGTATCACGTAAAGTTTAAGATATCAGTGCCTAGCGAGGGATTGTCCAGAAACTCATTTCCTCGTTGATCCCTCGCAGATCGAGGGAAATGCCAAAAACCCATTCCCTCGCTGATCTGCGAGGAATTTTTTCTTTCGCTGATACCTGGTTTTCTAGTAGTGAAAATTTCTCTTGGGATTATCTGATCTAGAGTGATTTTCCAAAACAAACTACTGATTTTTAGTAAAGAGGTATGTGTTGATATTTGTTTTTGTAAATTGACATGGGCGTTTTTGTTCTTTTCATAGGGGAGTTGAATCCAACCAAACAAATTTCATCCTTTTTGTTTTCCCTTTCAGAACTCGAATAACTACAAAGTGTTCATTTTGATGGTGATGACAGTTACGACCTAAAAATAATTCAATACGCCTCGTAGCTTATTGACATTATCCACATCGTTTTTGTTACGGATTAAGCTTATGAAATATTGTTCTCGAAAGCGACAATCACATGCTAGAACTCCATTATTCCCCCCGTTTTTGACCAAAAGAAAATGTTGATCATGTACATTCAATTCAACAATAACTTAATACTTATAATACCACTATATATATATATATATATATAGCTACAACAGTATAAATATACAGTTCAAAAATTTCTGATTTCTAAGAATTATCTTAAGCAAGTTGCATCAAAATAGAACCAACCCTGATTTTATATATATATATATATATATATATATATGGGAGCGATCAAATGCAAACTACTCAATTTGTACAAACCGTGTAAACCGCATTCAACCAATCATAATTTTTCATTTTGTTCATTTTTTTGTAATTATGAGAGGTTGATTAATCATTTTTATTGTGAAGGGTGTTAATCATAG